TAAATCTAAGGGGATAAGGAGCTAAGACTTGACGTAGGAGAGTTAGGGGATGGCTTTGGAGAAAGGAAATCTTAGGTGATGGGCCAGAAAGATCAGTACAAAAACAGCTTCTTAGAAGTTATAGGGAATGCAGGCCTTTCAACCTCCTTAGTCAAAATTCCATAGATGTGCCACCTCACTCTTCTCCCTAAAACATTAAATTAGGTTTATTTTTCAGCTCTGGTCAGGTAGCTCAGTTGATTAAGGAGTCATCCTGATGTGCTAAGGTTGAGGGTTTGATTCCTGGTCAGGGCATATACAAGAATCAACCAATGGGCTGGCCGGTGTGGCTCAGTTGGTTCAGTGTTGTCCCATGCACCAAGGGGTCGCTGGTTCAGTTCCCGGTCGGGGCGCATGCCCGGGTTGCAGGCTTGGTCCCCAGTGGGACCAAGCAGGAGGCACCCAATTGATGATCGATGTTTCTCTTTCATTGATGCTTCTGTTTTTTGTTTTTCTTTCATTGATGTTTCTCTCTCTCTCCCTCTCCCTTCCTCTCTCTCCAAAAAAACAAAAAAATCAATAAAAACATTAAAAAAACAAACACAATCAACCAATGAATGTATAAGTAAAACAAATTGATGTTTTTCTTTCTCTCTTCCGCCCTTTCTCTCTTTCTAAAATCAATCAATAAAAATTTTTAAAAATTAGGTTTATTTTCAGATCTAAGCTAACAGCAAAACACCCTAATTTAAGTTTAGGTACTGCCCACCATGTAGCTGATGGCAAAAATTGTTTGCCATCAAGAAGGAAAAATCCAAAATTCCAAAATATAAGGCAAATATAGGAGTGTAGTAATAATAGTTTAATAAATATGAATTCTTTATTTTGATGAGAAGACGAACTGAGATAAAAGGAACAGAAATAAAATAAACCAGTGATCAAACATATGTAGCAGACGAATGAACTTTATTTAATAAGAGGTATTTATCTTTCATAAGCAGGAAGAATAAACAAAAACCTCTGTATTTAGATGGGTTGGTTTGTGTGCAGCTACAATCCCAGGCAGCCAATATGTATATTTTTACAAAGGGTTTCCCCTGCTTTTTCCTTCTGTTTTAAAAAAAGTCTACACGGGGAATTGTTACTCAAGGCATCATTAACTGATTCTATACACATGTGGGTATCATTAAAACCATCTTAAGCAATCTTTTCCTGGATATCAAGTATATTCAATCTAAATAAAGATTTCTCCTGTCCAGTCTTGTTGGTAGCAATTAAAACATGCTACCAAGTCCCATGACTCACTTTTCCAAATCCCCATTTAACATTTATAAATATCATGACTTCCAAGGGCACCTTCCTAGGATTTTTGACTGATTCCCTGGCTCCAGCACTTCCCCAGGTGGCAAGGATTTAAGGAAGTTTATCAAAACTAGTTTCAGGTTTTTAAAAGTAGTTAGAGTGCAGTATAGGCAGTTACACCCAATTAGTTGTGATTCATGTAAAAGGATTCCAAAGCTTAAAGAAATATGGAAAATTCTGTGGTATGGCATATTCCATAATATAGCTCCCAAAGCTCTTTAACATCATGCTAATTACAGCTGAAAGAAAAGTTAACAAAAAATGAAATAAGCTATATTATATCCAACATCCATTCTAATTATCTCTAAATTAAACCACATGCAGCATACTAGATTACTCTTCAAGGGTATTTTAAACATGGTTCAAACAAACTGCCTATGTAAGAAACTTGGGCTGCTCGATGTTATAAACTGGGCAATAAACTCTTCTTAAAAGAGACAATATTTAAAATACAATATTTTAGAATCAGGAAGCTTAGCTTAAAATTCTGGCTGGTACTTAGGAATTTTCCCCGAGAAAATAGTTTAGTCCCTTTGCCTATCAGTTTACTTACTTATTTAATTAATATCAGAATACTACAGCCTACACACCACAGGGCTGCTATGAATAGTGTTTATGAAAGCTACTACAAAATATTCAGTGTTGTATCATTCTTTTAAAATATTCTTCAATGTATTCTTTTCTTAAAATGTAAATTTTAATCAAACTCCTTCAATGAAATTATTTTTATAAGCATTAACTTGTCAAATCTTACTGTATCTCTTTTTAAAATTTCTGTTTTTGATTGATTTGAGAGAGAAAGGGAGAAAGAGGGGGAAAAAATACTTACTTGTTGTTCCACTTATTTATGCATTCTTTGATTGATTCTTGTATGTGCCCTGTCCAGGGATCAAACTGGCAACCTTGTTGTATTGGGAAGACACTCTGATGAACTGAGCAACCTGGCCAGGGCAAATCTTACTATATTTTAAGTCTATCTTACCTCTTTTAGAAATCTAGCAACTGTTGGAAAACTGACAATAAAAATTTTAAATATCTTGCCCTGGCTGGTGTGGCGCAGTTAGTTGGGTGTTGTCCTGTGCACTGAAAAGTTGCTGATCCCATTCCTGGTCAGGGCACATGCTTGGGTTTGGGGCTTGATTCACCCCGGTATGGTACGTAGGAAGCTGCCAATCAATGTCCCTCTTACATAAATGTTTCTCTCTTCTCCCTTCCTTTCTCTAAAAATCAATAATCTATCCTTTAAAAAAGAAATTTAAAATATCTTTCTCTGAGAGTCTACCTGTTATTTCACATTGCTTCCCATTATTCAAGGAACAAAAAGCGTTTACCCAACTCTGAAGTCACCTATTCCAATGGAATCACTGGCTTGCTTTCTCTTTGAAATTCCAAGTATGTTTCATGTGCAGTACTGAAAGTATTACTTTTAAACTAAAACACATTTTTATTGCATTATTTTCCTAAAATTAATACCTAATAATAATTTTATTTACTTAACTTTATGATATTTTTATATGTAAATACAGGGTGGGGCAAAAATAGGTTTAAAGTTGTTCATGTGGAAAATACAATAATTAATACATAATAACACAAAAATAAACTCTGGATTTCATGTACTCACAATTATATAATCCTATTTTTGTCCCACCCTGTACAATGCACCATTTTTTACATACTAGAACTTTGTTTCTTTTTCTCCCTTGGGATATCAGTCAAGACAGTCTTTGACTAACCCTTTTACCTATTCCACCCACTTTTCTACTGACTCTATACATACACTTGAGGGCTTAAAATAAAACAAATCAAAACAAAAGACCTGAGACTCTTACCAAGGTCTGGCAATTCACTCCTACTCAAGATATAGACCCTACCTAGGTCCTCTCCTAGTCTCCACAGCTGCAGATTACCAGTACAATAGCATTTATCCTCTCTTCTGCCTTAGTCTAGGTCCTGGAGGTGGTTCTGCATTTAGGAAAAACAATCGAGACTGTAGAGCTTGGCTAGAAAATAATTTCTTCCCATCCTCAAGGCCAACTCAGACCTAGCTTGGAAGAAGTGGCAGGACCTGGTGCACAAGTACTCTGGAGGCCGGCCTCCAGACCAGTCTTGCCTGAGACAGAAAGTGGGCTCATAAGATATAGCCTAGCTGTAAGGGGAGCCCAAGCTCCATTCTTGCGGACATCTCTGGTTCTCTACCTTCTCCAGATTCTCCAGGATGTGACAAGCTTTTTCATCCCCTTACCAAACATCTTGCCCTCGATCTAGGCACCATGGGCAAATTTCTCTAATTCTTTCTCCCCTCACAATAGAAGGCAAATGGTTCTTCAACTGGCCATATATTCAAAGACCCCTTGTTTCTGAATATTCTGGGTAAAGGTATTGTCAGGGTAGGGAGCTCTCCCTGGGATGTGTCACCCTGGCATAAAGGTTATTTTGAGCTGCAAACAATTAAAGCCCAACGAACTCAGGAAGTGGTTTTTTTGTGTGTTTGTTTTATAACCTCCCCCTTTTCTTCTCTGAGGGATTCAGATGGAAAAACCTGCTTCAGAAAGGGAACTCTAGGATTACCACTTTAGCATACCCACTTTTGCACATATAAATTAAGTGTGGTTGACAGAAAGGATCTGTGAAAAAATCTGTTCCCTAGATTTCCCTCTGTCCTGTTGTCTCTGAGTAGCATAACAAGAATGCATTTGCTACTTTCTCAGTACCTATGAGTTGCCCTTACCCACTTCACCTTTGTCCAAAATGACATCAATACCCCATTCTGCCTCATTGTCTTTGGAATTTTTATGCTTATGAAAAAATGCACATGTGAAAATCTGATTTTCTCCTGTTGATCTGCTGTACGTTGTTTTACTTATTCGACCAGCCAGAAGAAACAACGGAGTAAGGCAAAGTTTCCAGGGCTATGATAGTATCACCTATAAAAACTAACAACTGAGAACAATAAACAATTATTTTAATAAAGTCTCCAATGAAATTATACATATGCAAATAAACTATCTGTGCCTTCAAATGTCTAGCATTTTATCCTAAATTAAAACACACTGGAAACTAACAGAACCTTTAAAAAATTAACTGTAAGCATTAAAAGCACTTGTAAATATATATTAATTCTATAGCATAATACTCAACCATCAGTATTTTCTTTTCTGCTCTCTTTTAAGCTTCCTTATACTTTATTTATAATGAACATAGAATAGGCACTATTTACCAGGTACTGTTATTATTTTTTTTTTAGAGAGGGAGGGAGAGAGAAACATTAGGCATCGATGTGAAAGAATAACATGATTGGTTGCCTCCCATTCGGAGATGGAAGCCGAAACCCGAGTATGTGTCCTAACTGGGAATTGAACCCACAACCTTTCAGTACACGGGACAACACTCCAACCAACTGAACCACTTGGCCAGGGCTACCAGGAACTATTCTAAGTGCTTTACATGCATTCATTTACATAAGGCACTGAACCACTCAAAAAGGTATGTAATATTTATAGGCTATTTACAAATAACAAATCTTAGGCACAGACAGGTTGAGTTACAGGAGTCTGTCCAAAATGACAATGCCAAGATTGGAACAAAGCAGTCTGGCTCTAGCATCTTGTCTATTAACTACTGTACTACGTTGCCTCCGGCGCCTTCACTATCACACTTACATTAAAATTGCTTATAAACCACTAGAGGGCAATGGACTGTGACCATCCTTTGCACAGCTATATCCTCAGGACGGAGCAGAAGTCTTGAGGCTCATGAATAAATCATTGTTGAGTTCTTCACAGGTATGCATTCCCCTCTAGACTATGTTCCCTAGGGTCAGACAAGACAAAAGTGATACTGCAGCTCATCCTGTAAGAGTACATGGCACATAAATGAAAATAAATTAATATGCAGAAGTTCTTGCTCCAGACGTTCCTAAATCTCTGCTGAATGAATACATCTTCTATTTACAAAGTCTTGAAGCAAAATACAAGAATGAGAAGCCCCTGTTTCGAGACAACCACCAGAAGCACCTCTCTAACCCTAACTTTGCAAGAAATCAACAGCTGCCTTAAATAACATTATAAACTCACTCATAGGCAGGTTAGTGGACTAAGGTATAACATTAAGTGAAATATAAAAACTGTCTACTATAGGAGGACGGCTCCCTTTAAGAGCTTTTTACTTAAGAAAAATTAAAAACAAATCCATACTTAGCAAAAGGTAAGTTTGAATATGGTTCAGTTACTTTAAAAACAATCCCTCTTTTTATAGAATCCTTCTAAATAGTGAATTCCCCTTAATTCACTCAAAAAACAAAAAACAAACACACACCCCAGGAATTTAAAAATTAAGTTTGGTTTGGGCAAGGAAAACCATAACAGACAATACTAAGGATGAAGTACAGAGTATTTAAAAGAGCGATTTCAAACTGTAGCCACCTCGGAATGACTGATCCAAGTAAATCTGAGCATCCGGCGGGCTTTTCCTCTCGCTACATCAGAAATCCCACCACGGTCACCACGTCAACTCAGAGCAAAGCCCCCATCACCTTCGGAGGCTGGGAGAGCCCACGGGAAACGCACAAGTCCTTCCTGACGCTATTCTGGAAACAAGGTCCAAGTTTCTTTCTTACACAAAAGAACCAATTCTTTTAAAACTTCCCATCTCAAGGAAAAGCTGAAAATGTAGTATGTGCGGAGGGCTGGGTAATGTGCGAACATCTGCATTCAAGAAACTCGCCCTCCGAACAGTCGTTCCTGCCGGGGCCACACGACCTTCCAACCGCCCCCGGGGCCGCAGGGGCCGCGGCCGCGGAGCGACGCCCAGGTGAGCGGCCCCCAGCCGGCCGGCCAGGGGGACGGCGCGGGGCCCTGCACCCCGCGGGCAGCTCCCGGGAAAAACACCTCCTCCATCACAGCCTCTTCCTTCCTCGGGAGGGCCGAGGGGAGGGGCGCCCCCGGAAGGCACTCCATGGAGGAACACGCACCCCAAATTCCGACTTCAAATGTCTGCCTGCTAGTTTCTCCTTCCAAAACGGGCCGCCGGGCGCTCCCGAGCCCCCCGAGATGCGAGCGGGGTGGGCGCTGGGGCAGAGCCCGAGCTGAAGCGCCCCGCGGGGCACCGCTCTCTCCCGGCGGCAGAGGGGGCGCCCCGTGTCCTCCAGGAAGCGCCATGCTCCCCCCAAGCCGCGACCCCGGCCGGCCCCGAGCCACGCCTCGCCGCGCCCGTCCCCCCGCCGGGCCGGGCCCAGGCCGCCGCCGCCCGCCCTTCCTCCCGGCCGCTCCCCGCGGGCCGCCGGCGACGGCGACAGCGGGCGGCGCACTCACATCCGTCCGCGTCCTCTTGCAGGTCCTCCTGGAGCAGCGAGAGGTCTGCGCCGGGGAGAAAAGAAAGGCCCAGTTAGCGCCCCGCGACCCGGCGCGCCTCCCGGCCACCCGCCCGCCGGCCCCGCGGCGCCTGCCCGCGCCGGCCTCGGCCCCACACGGGGCGGCGGCGAACGGGCGGACGCGGTGAGGGGAGGCGCCGCCGCCGCGCCGCCCGGAGAACTGGGGGCCACGTACCCGCCATCTTGTGATCGCCCCCTCCTCCTCGGTCTCCCGGGGATCCGGGGCTACATGGAGCGGCGCGAGCCGGGGAGCCGGTGGACGCGCGCGGGAGGGGCGGCGAGGAGGAGGGACGGGCCGGCGGGGGCGCGCGCGCGGGGCGGGCCGAGGGCCCGGGACTGGGCCGCGGGCGGAGCGGCTCCCGGACGCCGGGGGTGGGCGGGCGCCGCGGGCCCTGGGCCTCGCCCCGCCTCGCCTCGCCTCGCCTCGCCCGTCCGCTCCGGGCGGCCCCGGGGCGGCCGGCGCTCCCTCCTCCCGCCTCCCTCGCTCCCGGCCCGGCCCGGCGGCGCGCGCTCACACCCTCGGCCGGAAGCGCCCTCACGCCGAGCAGCGGCCGGAGCTGCGGCCGGCCCGGGACCCTGCGGCTGGTGGCCGGAGCCGGGCAGGGCCCCCCGCGGCCCGACCCGCTTTATTGGGTCACGGCGTCGTCGGCCGCAGCCCTTCTCCGCGGGCGGGCCGGCGTTCGCTGCCCCGCGCCCCCTCCCCGGGTGGCACGTACGTGGGCGGCGATCCGACGCCTGGCGGAGGCCGAGGGTCCCACCCTCCCGGCGGAGGAAGCGCCGCCCCCCGCGCGCCGGGGCCCGTGGGAAGCGGCTGGTAACAAAGCCCTGGGCCCGGCCGCCTGGTCTCGGGGGGACCGAGGCAGCTGGGTCAGCCGGCTCGCCCGCCCCCCGCGCCCCCCCCGTGCCCCCCACCCCCGCGCGGTTCAGGCTGAGACGCAGGCCATGGCCCTGCGCCCGGCTGGTCGGGAACCGGCCCAGCGGCAACCCTCCAGCCGGCGGCAGGCCTGCGCTCGGGTCTCTATGCTGCCGTCGACTTAGCGGGCGGGTGGCCCGTTGTGAAAGGAGGGACGATCACTGCCGCTCGGATCATCGGGGTGAACGAGGAATGCCAGGAGCCTGGCACAGCACCGGGCATGTCGGCGGCGCTCCGGGAACGGGCCTGCGATGATGACTTTTCCCTTTAAGTAGCAGGTGCTCACCTGAGTGCCGGATCACAGTTTATCCTCCCCCTTTTCGCGTGTGTGTGACTGATGAGCTCAGGCTCCCAAGCACGGAGTGAGCGATCAGCCTAGGTCTGCTGGCTCCATTTCACACTATCCTCTCTCCCCCTCCCGTTCTACTCAAGGCCTCCGATAGGGTCATCTCTTCAAGTGCAGAACGAAACAAGGTCTTGTTTCAGCGACACCACTCTGGGGGTCCGGTCTCTCCAGCAGGAGAGGGAATTCTAAATAGTTCATCAGCTTGTTCCTCCCTGCATTGTGGCTTTCACCAATGAAGGCTCAGTCTAAGGCAGCGGTTCTCAACCTGTGGGTCGCGACCCCTTTGACGGTCGAACGACCCTTTCACAGGGGTCGCCTAAGACCATCCTGCATATCAGATATTTACATGACGATTCATAACAGTAGCAACATTACAGTTATGAAGTAGCAACGAAAATAATTTTATGGTTGGGTCACAACATGAGGAACTGTATCTAAAGGGCCAGAAGGTTGAGAACCACTGGGAGGAATCAGATCTCCTGAAGTTCATAATTCTGTGTCATAAAACGGGTTCTATATGTAGCTATTCCCAAAACTTCCCTCTCAGATATGGAACACAATATATAGTAAATATTAAACTTCTAAGAGTAATAAAGATTGGAATACAATCTATAATTCCAGGTGTATGTCTAATTTTGTCAAATATAGAATAATTAAAAGCAAAGGCTAAAAGCCGTCATCGATTTCTCTCCTTCCCTTGATAAATGCCCTTACATGAATTCTGCTTAAAATAAAACACCAACTCTCAAAATGATGCGTTAGAAATTCACGAACTATCGACAGAAACCGGTCCCAATTGATTCAATCTGTGACAGTTTTGCTGTGATACTTGTCTTGTTGACACCTACCACTTTAGCAATTCTGGGTGGAAGGAGGGGGAAATAGGATTTGGCACCTTTAAATGGGGATCTTTAAACAACAGAATTCACCGAGCGCCAACTATTCAGCTACTGGACATCCAAAGACAAAACTATCTGAGTGACCTACCCAGTATAATTTTCAGTGATCATGATAAAATAAATAGAGGGTGTGTACCCAATGCTAGCCTGGGGTACATGACGACTACCTGTCTCTGGTAGCTAGACCTCAGTAAATTTTATCTCAGTATTCTCTGGGAAGGCAGCAGAGGAGGAGGGCCTGTGTAACGTCGCCTGTGTTGTTATAAAGCTATGCATTTGGTTATCATCTTACCTCCATTATATGCCTCAGTAGGTTCCTTTAGTCAGTATTGTTTTTAGACATTTCAGTGGTTCAGCACAAGTACATATTTTTTTACATTTAATTTTCTCTCATTCTCTACTCCTTCCTCAAAATAAGATCAATGGTTTTTAAACCAGTATTCTATGAAATGTACAGTTTCCTCCTTATGAAAATTATATGTAAACAATAGCAATCATTATTCTATGTACCCTTACTCCAATTTCACTTACAGTCTAGAGTCGACCATGGATACCAGAAGCTGTGTGGTCAGAACACAACACAATGAATTCTTAACCTGCTCTGCCCCTGACAATAGATGTAGTGTTGCAGGTCAACTTTTAAAAAAGTATTATCCAAATCTGTGTCTATTAAGGCCTGAATTTTGGGAAGAATAAGTCTTCTTCCAAATGATAGTGAAAACTTTCACACTAGTGAAATATTTCCTTTATTTCACCAAGGATACTTGAAAATTAACTAATTTGGTTCTTCAAACACAAACATAATAAATATCATGGGGGGGAGAAACCAAGATGGCGGCATAGGTAAACACTGGAGTTTGCTGCCTCAAACAACCACTTCAAAAATACAACTAAAAGACGGAACGGACATCATCCAGAACCACAGGTAGGCTGGCTGAGTGGAAATTCCACAACTGGAAGGAAAGAGAAAAGCACACTGAGACTCAGAGGAGGCGCAGTGCGGAAGTAAAATACTAAGGTGCGGAGGTGTGTGCGGAGCGTGCTGGCGGCTGAGGGCGCGGTTGTCGTTTTCAATCGGGAGGGAGTCTCAGGCTCTGAGCTCCAGTTCCCTGCGAGGCTCTAGGGACCCAGACTCATACGGGAGAAGCCGGACTGTCTGGCACCGGTCCGAACTCAAGGGCAGCTTTCTCTCTGAGGGGCTTGCAGCGATTACCGGGACATTGAGAAGCAGAGCCTCTGAGGGCAGGACTGAGAGCAGCAATAACTGCTAGCCCTGCCCTGTTGATCCCGTGGGACCCGCCCCGCCAAGCCCTGCAGGGAGGCTTTTGCTGGATAGCCTAAGGCAGAGACTAGATTAGTACCACCCTAGAGATCCAGGAGCCAATGTACCCAGAGGTCAGAGTGGGACCATCCAGTTTACAGCTCCGTGGAACAATAAAGGACACACTCAGGGGGCAGACTCAGTGAGCACCAAAGCCCCATTGAAGCAAGTCTTGCCCCAGAGGGGTGTCTCCAGCACAGAAGTTCTCCCACTACAGATACAGTGGATTCTCACAGCCAATTGGCCTGGAGGTCAATTCCTCCCAGTGATAACTACAACAATCAAGGCTTAACTACAACAAGACTGTGCACAAAGACCACAAAGGGGTGCACCAAGAGTGTCCTCCTCAGGTAATTGGGGCAGCTGAACCACTGGGCCCTAGAGGACACTTAGCACAGAAAACCACTTTATCAACACAGGGAAGCATAAAAAATGCAGAGACAAAGAAAAAGGACACAAATGACAGAAATGGAGGAAAGCAAACTACTGGATATAGAGTTCAAAACCACACTTTTAAGGTTTTTCAAGAATTTTCTAGAAACTGCCGATAAATTTAATGAGATCTACAAGAAATCTAATGAGACCCTCGAGGTTGTGATAAAGGACCAACTAGAAATTAAGCATACACTTACTGAAATAAAGAATATTATACAGACTCCCAACAGCAGACTAGAGGATTGCAAGAATCAAGTCAACTATTTGAAATACGAAGAAGCAAAAAACACCCAACCAGAAAAGCAAAATGAAAAAAGAATCCGAAAATACAAAGATAGTGTAAGGAGCCTCTGGGACAGCTTCAAGTGTACCAACATCAGAATTATAGGGGTGCCAGAAGATGAGAGAGAGCAAGATATTGAAAACCTATTTGAAGAAATA